AGGGCTTTGGGATTCGGAGGTTTGTTGTGTCCTGTCGGGTCTGGGCTCTTCGTGCTCTGCCTGTTAAGCAGAAGAGAGCCACAGGGTGGGAGGCTGGGCAAAGCGTGCGCATGTTAAACAGCTGCCATGGGCCTCCTGAGAGAGCTAAGCTGTATCCAGGAGGCTCCCACCTTGGGCTGGGTCTTGGGACGGAGCAGACTGACAGGTCCGTGCTGTACAGGCCATAGTTGAATTGCGGCCTGAGTAACTGTGGTTGGCCAAATGTCCACGTTAGCGTTACTGAGACATGCTTGAAGTAGCTTTTTGGGAAGCAGGGCAAAAGGTTATTAGGCTGAGGTCACTGACCCCACCTTTTCACGTACACACCCAGTGTCAGTAACTCACTGTCACGAGGATGTCCTGAAATGACCAATCGTGTAATGCTGATGGGCATTCAGGACATACAGAGCATTAAGACACTTATGTCCGGTTTAAGCAGAAGTGTGTTACCAAGTCTCCCTTAGCTTTCCTGGGAAGTGCTGAAGTAATTCTTGTGTTTATCCTCTATATTGACGTAATGACTCATTACGGATCAGTTTAGGGAAATTAGATGTAAGCAGGATCTAAAGGAACGGAATGAATTCTCGCCTGACAGCTGGCTGGGAGAAGGAGAAACTTCTAGAGCAAACTATTTACATGAACACACCTACTCTGCTTAGCTAGCCAGCAGATAGAGCGGCGTTGCTCAAAATAATCAACTTTGGCTGGTGTTGTCGTTCAAATCACTTTAGTGGTTCAGGTCAGGCCTAACCTCTGGCATGGTTCAGGTCAGGCCTAACCCCTGGCATGGTGCTGTCCCCACAGAAAGGTGGTGGCATCCCAGAGCACATGCTATGTCCCCAAGCTGTATCCCCTCCTTCACTCTCTCTTTAATGACTGGTCAGGCCTAACCTCCCTCACTTGTGGTCAGGTTTATTTGTGCCCAATTTCACCCCATTCCCCATGAGGATTTGGGGGATCTGTCTGTACAAATTATGAATTTTGGTTCATATTATGGAGTGGCTCTTATGAAAACCGCTGTACCATGAATGCCCGTCCCGATGCATAACCCTGTGCACTCCCAGCCGGAGAGAGAGCAGGTCTTGCCCAC